GATCTAATTAGATTCTTTTTTAAATTTTTATCTTGTTAGATTTAAATCTGATCTAATTCATTTTTTTTCCGGATAATTTATTATAAAATGACAAGAAAAACAAAGTTTTGCTGTCATATGGCCAGCAAGAAAAAAATGGTTTTTACTGACAAAACAAATTTAACAGACTTGGCAAAGTTTTCTTGCTGGCTATGTAGTAACTAATCTTCTTGTTATTCTAGCAAAAATGTTTTCCGCGGAGCAAAAATTGAAATAATTCTATTGAGTCGATGTCACTTATTTGAAGCAAATGAAATATTCAAGGAAAGAGAAAAAACAGAAGAATAAAAGAGAAACAAAATAATTTAAAATTTTAAAAAGGATGTGTATAACTTTTGTATATAAATTTTTAATATTTTATTTGCAGAGAGAATGTACCTGAGCCGCTCATTCTTAACAACAAAGCATTTCCTCCAGGTTGTCGAAGAATTCGCGTAATTCTACAAACGTGGCTTATTACGTCCTTAAAAAGCACTATTTGCATCGGAGACATCGTTGTCGTATTATAGTCGTACAAAAAGTCAAGTAAAACTTGTTCCATCTGTAAATGTTATTTACGTACACACATACATACGTTTTATCTTTACATTAAATAATAGATAAATAAATAAATAAATAAATAAATAAATAGTAAATAAAAATTGCAGTAATTTATTTACATTAAATAATTTTATTCTATTTTTACATTAACTCTTTGTAGACAGATCTCAGAAATGATGACTAGTTGGACAAATTGGGTCTGTGAGACCCACGCGACCTTAAAATCGAATATCTCCGCGAAAAATCAAATACTTCTTCAATTTTGTTTTTTTGAATCAAAAGTTTAAACGATTCTGCGTCGATAGAAAAAAACAAAGTGAAAAAATCTAGTAGTTTCAAAGATCTAAACGTTTAAAAAGAAACTAATTTTTACCAAAGACGCCGATGAGCAATTTTTGAATGGGTTTGGAAGACCCATGTCCGTCCGCGAAAGGTTTAAGTAATCAATTTTTGATCAATTTTAAATCAATTTTTATTGAAACAATTACCAAAATATATAGATAACGCAATCGAATGAATGCAAAACGTATATAAATTTTTGTTGAAATATTTCGCGATAACATTTTGCTGCGTGGTAATAAACGTGATATACATGAAATATTCAATTTTACACTGGTTGTACATCAAATATACAGATTATAAAACTATAAAATTGGATTATAAAAAAATTCTATCTAAAATTCTGTGTCTTTTACGACAGTTAATAAATTAAAGATTCAAAGTCGTTTGAACGTAACGATGAAAATTCTGTACGAAGTTTCTTTAATTACATCGCAAAAAACGTGTGATGCTTTGTCACACGCAAAAATAAAACTACTTGAGAGAACAGAAGATAAATTTTATCTTTATTTTCTGTGAAATGGATTTATTATTTTTTTTTTCGAGTTATTTATATTTGTTTATACTATTGCGTTTACTTGCTCCGCTTGTGCACAAGAACCGTCTGATTGCACACGTGTCTCAATCACTTATCATATACGCGCGCGCTTTTATCAGCCAGTTTGTGTTTCCATATACAAAATAATCGATTAACTAAAAAAAATTGTTTATTTGCATTTGTTTAAAGTTTCGAACAATGAAGTGTCACGACTGATATTTATGTTACTATTTATTTCAAATTTATAAAAATTAGAGTTGCCGCGCGAAATTATCGTATCTGAATAAATCGAAAAGTGATACTAAATAGCAGTTTTTTTTTGCATCAGCCATGAGAACGCCCTGAAACACATTGCTTAGATCACAAAGATTGAAAGTGTAGTGGGATTTGTTGGGAGTTGGCAGAATCTCGTTGCAAGTAATTGTGTAAATTTTTAAAGTGGAATCTACAACGTCGTTCAGCATGCGCATGAGATTCGGTGCTTTCGACAGCCAGGAGTTAAGAATTGTTTTGAAGATACGTGACTACAAATTGCAAATTATTATAAGAAATAGAGATTTTATTTGTCTCACTTCTAAGTCAACTTTGTATTAAATTTTAAAATACTATTAATAATTAATTTTTTTGTATTAAAAATTTCTTTTAACAGATTTCCGATTTAAAATAAATTACAAAAAACGAATATTCAATATTACACAGAGCAGAAGGCTTTTTTCCTTTTTAAAGACTTTGTGTTTCCGACAAAAAAAGTTAATTCGATCGTAAATTTCAATTTTTTAACCAAAGATCGTATAAAAGCACTCGCGAAAGAGACATAAATCGGGGATATAACATTTATAATGTGCCAGACGTGCGCGCGCGCGTTATCACTATTAAAAAGCGATTCTCCTGGTATTCCAATTAAAATATACTTATTGTTTATTGATTTATTCTATTTAGCATCCGATGTCTTTATTAGTCCAAAAATTGTTTGATCAGTCGATATCTTGAATGTTATATACACACAGTCGGAACTGAGAAAATACCTTCACGGGGAACAGGGGATGCGAATTTATTTGGCACGAATATTCAACCGAGCTCTCGCACAGTCAAACTCGTTAAACCCTCCTTTCGACCTTGAGCGAAATGTACACAGAAGGTCTTGCTGAGTCGTTACGGCGAGATGATTATGGTCTCCCATTATATCAACCGGGCCAGATGATAATGATAAATTATAGTCGGTATGGCCGCGTAACGATTTACGAGGTCTAATTGCGACGACAAACAACGGTGACTATACGGTGTGTGTTCCGTCTTTTCCAACATGAGACGCGATTATACATCTGGGCGTGGAGACGTCAATGGAAGAAACCCTGACGACACGGTGGAAGGAAACGTACATATTCAGATACGTACGTTCGCCATGCAGTTCCGGACAAGATGCCGGAAGAATTTTGATCAGCCGTTTTCAAGAGCCCGACAGTTTCGTCGAAAATTTATTTTTACCGCACACATCACACATACGCGAATCCACAATTTCTGTCGTAATATCACGTGATGAAAATTTTGAGGTTTTTATTTCAAAAACTTTATTAGATTTTGATGGATGTTTTAAGAAATCGCAAAAATTAAAGTCGAGCAAACAGAGTTGTGTCTATATGCATTTCACATTTGTAAATATATATATGCATGTACATATATATTATATATATATATATACATATCGCGGAAATCGATTGACAACTGATACAGAACGCATTTCATCGTATTTTATTGACACTTATACATATTTGAAATCTGGAACTGGGAGTGTGTTTGTTCAATCGACGAATCGCAGTTTTTTACTCGACGAGATTACAATCAGTAAATTTGCACGGAAATTTTACGGTTTTATTTCCCGGCGGAGATAACACTATCCATTTTCTAGGATTGCGAATTGATTCGGTCAATTAACGATAATCGCATTTGACGTGCACAGTTTTTGCGCAAACATCGACGCATGAACTCACCTTCGCGTCGTCCTCCATCTCTGGAAACGCAATAATATGGAAATGTCGTAGAAGTCTGGCAGTTATTGGGTTCCTACCGCCCCCAGGAGGTCCCATGGCCGCGATAAAATTCACGTCCTCAATCATTCTGAAGGATCCGATTTTCTTTCTGTCGTATCAGTCTACAAAAAAGTCTTGATTTGCAATTTTCCTTGCACAGTTACGTTCTCATTCAATTCTGCCTAAGAACATTATTTTGCGTGATTGGCGTTTTCTTCCTCCCTTCCTCCCACTCTCCGAAGACGATGCTAGGAAAAAACAGAGATTGCAAGAAACTTTTTTTGTTTGCTGAAGCTCGACTTGACTCGGCAAAACAATCGGATATCTTCATGCGGACGATATTTCACGGTTATTCAATTTATTCGATATTAGAAGTCAAAAGAAAATAAAACGTTTGATCTTATATATATATATATATGTATATATATATATATGTGTATGTATGTATATATACATATTTATATGAAATGCGTCCACGCAGTACTCTATATTGATATTGGATTCCGTCCACGTAAAAGGTCGATTCCGATAGCATCGTTTTCTCTGAGTCCATTACATCGCTCGTACACACACAAATGTGAATTATTAAAATTCACAGAATTCTTAGCATTCGTGAGAAAAGCATTTAATAACTCCGCGAATTAGTATTTTGAGTGTTATTAGAGATATTTATTTCTTACTTTTTATAGGGAGATAAAAGACGTAGACGTGTACACAATAAGCCATACATACATCGTTCGCTACATTTATAATGACCTATGTTCTGTATAATTTTTTAAAATAAACATCAATTTTTTTAGATAAATTCTTTTTTCTTATGATATATTTTGCAAGCTCTAAAGTTTCTATTAATTTACGATCTTATTCTATCGATTTTCGTGATATAACTTATTTCCGAGAAAATCGCTTAAATGAAGGTTTTAATGAAATAAGAAATACGAAGATTACGAATCTCTCTCTTTCTCTCTCTCTCTCTTTCGAGCAAGAAGTATGTATTTACAAGCGTAAAGAAGCGACGACTACAAAGATTAAAAGTTTTTATTAATCTTCTTTTATATATAGTGTGCAGTTTTACGCGATATAAATAAATACTGTGAGAGATAGAATTTCACGGAATATCTCGCCGTTGCTTCTTTTTATTTTGCATAAAAAAACATACATATATTATAAAGATATTGCATGTGTAATAATATTTTAAAAAAGTATATCGATGATAATGCGACACGAGGTTATTAAAGACTAGTGAAGCATTGCAAAACGTAAACACGAAATCGGTATTTCGATTTTTATAAAATCGATAGTCTCAAAAATTAATCCTCAAGCGAAAAAAATTTATTCTACATTATTTTTCGTTTTAAGTTTGCACACAAAGCGCTTCTCTTTACTAGTTAAACGAGTTTTCTTAATTTTCTCACCACGAAAATCCATAAACTGGCGTATCAACTCGATGGGCGGTTGGGCGCCGTAAGTATCCAACGCTGGCATGTTGAAGTCGTCGATGAAGAAGATCTGTTTCTTCAAAATCGGCGGCCCGTAGACGCCCTTACGTCGCTTGTCCAATTTCGCGTCAATGAAATCCTGAACGAGAATCGTGTTGTAAATATTAGTAAACGTTATTAAATCAGACTTGCTCTGGGAAATATTTTACACGTAATTCGCTGCCGCACCTGCGTCTGATTCGCTGTAGTTCGCGCCATGAGAACGTCATGAAGTCGCAGATATATTTCCCCGGCATATTACGCGACAGTTTCGCCGATACGGTTAAAGTTTTGCCGCTTCCGCTCGGACCGATACATAACACATTCGTCTCGTTAATAAGAAGATGCTCGATCAACGTCACGCTTCGCACGCTATTCATCGTCGGAACTTCGATATCTGCAAGATTATTTGTAGAAATTATATTATTTGTAATAATATTATTAATATTATTTGTCGCGGGGTCTGCGAGTAGGGAGGTCCCGAGTTCGAATCGACACCTTCGAATTTTTTTCGGGCCGGCCTTTCTCAGTCGAAGTTACCGACTGAAATGCGAATTGAATCGGACCTCTAAGCAAAAAGTAACTCTCCAAATTTAGACGCTAGAGTACCCTAATAGGCAAATTGTAAAATAGAAATAAAAAATATAAATAATATACAGAATGTTCACGCGCGGAATGTTCAATAACCGTATTTATCTCTCGTAGAGAAGCAAGCAAAGCAAGTTCTTTTCCATTTTGCGAATTTTGCGAATGAGTAAAGTAAATTATTAATTAATAAAAATGATACGCGAATGTGTGAGTACATGTGCTTCAAATGAAAATTTGACGAAATGAAAAAATAAGCGCTTAAAATTAAATAACGGTAAAGTGATATCACGTGATTTATAATAACAAAGTGAAAATGTACACAAAGAAACTGTGATATTTTTTCTGTATATTTTTTGTATTATTTTTAAAACTGTTTATTTTCAAATGTGAGAGAGGAGGACTGTATAGACTGTTGATTCTTGTTTGTGCTCGTGTCTGCGAGTAGTACGTGTAGCAAAGAGAGGTAAACTGCATTAAAATTCATCACTTCCGCAAGGGAATTCGTGCAACTTACCCGCATATTTTGTGTCCGGCGTTATTCTGACAGACGGAATGCCATCCAACCACTTGTACCACTTAGGCGGAATTGGCTCCTGGCTCCCGTCAATTGGATCGGTAAATCCGTCGTGTAATCTGTACAGTACGTACAGGGTGTCTGAAACTCTCCTTCTTCATTGATTACAGTATTAATTAATATTTTAACACATAAATTAATATTTCAATGACTATCGCAAATTTCTCAAAAAATCACACGTGTTTTTTCTATTCAGATTTTGATCTTCGCACTTCGGATGTGTCAAAAAATTTCACACAGACATCCCGTATACACGATATTTCAGACATCCTGTATACTCTATTAGTAATATTACTCCTTCCGGGTATAGTTTCTAATTTAGTTTCTTCAAGATGCGCGCAAATACTTGAATATAATGAAGTTCGTCAATTTCGCGAGTTTTCACGAGAAGTAATCATAAAAGTCGAAGATTTCGTACACGAAGAAATTTGTTTACCAGCGAAAATTTAAAAGCTTTTTACTCAGATCGAAATTCTGTATTAACGTTACACGCGTCAATATAATTACATTTTGAATCACGTTTTAATAATATTAAAATATTATGAGATAAAATTTGACGCAAAATACAAGCTTGAAAAGTAACAGATAATATCAACTTATTTGTACTTTTCCGAGAGCAGTATATATATTTTTTTATTTTGATTGTTTTTACAGTTACATATACGAGTTCTCTTGTTTTGTATTATTCTTTTTGATGTCCTTCGAAGTTAGAATTGTAATTCTTGCAGCGATTCAGTTCCCGAGTAAATAATCTCCATGAAAAATGCATCGGCACGTTCGTTCAACAAAGTTTAATTTTTTTTTATGACTTGTTTTTATTTATTTATTTAGTTATTTATTTTTTATTGTATTCTTGACTTCCACGACACACTTACCTGTAATCGAACACAAGGCCTTCTTCGGGAAATGACATTTTGTGCCGACCGTCTTTCTGTATTTTTCTCAGCCAGTCGCTGAATATACAACGGCTTCTGTAATCGCAAGTGGCACCTAATCCCCAAACAACAGCAAAAGCTGTCCATAGTGATAGCAAATCCGCTAAAATACAATGCACACACATTCGTAAGAAGATACAAATGTAATCCGGCGATAAAATACGAGAAAATATATTTTGCGTCTCTCGTTAATAACGTAAAAAGAACATTATAAAAAATATCTAAACAATGCGCAAACATATTACGTGTTTTTGCGAATAAATGACGTGTAATGCGAATTCAAAGCGCATCGATGTTATATTATACGGTCGTAATATAATTTCGATGTTAATGCCAATTAGGATTCAAAATTGCTTGAATCGCTGTGGGGGAGTTTGCATCTTTGCAAACGAGTATAGGACAGCAAATCTTTCTGATTCTATTTATTTGCGTTGTTATAAATTTCTATTACAAATGATGAATAGGAGGCGAAGTATTAAACCCCCGTTGCCATAAAAGTGCATCAATTACGCATTCAACTGGCGTATCAATGTGCCACGAGAACTGTTTAAGCTATCCTGTGATCCTATCAGCATGTCTCTCCGCTGCTTTCTTTTTCTCTTTCGCGTGCAAACTACTACTAAGTGCGTATATATTAAGAAACATACGTATGATTTGTTGAAAGGCCAAACTCAACGGTGCTTTATAGATTTATATACGATCGAACGAGAGCGGAATCCACGGTGTTTATAATCTCGCGTAAATAACCGCGCACTATCTTCAATCCGGGAAGCACGAGTTGAGCAGTTAACTCCGTTATTTCCTCGATGTAGTCGTTCATTGTCTAAATGCGAGAAACAATGTTGTTAAACAAAAGCAGAACTTTTATAAAAAGATTATATAGCGCTAACTAAATATTTATCTAAAAAAGAACTATTATATAACTCACTGCCGGTAGTGATTGTATCCAACAATTAATTAGAGGTTGCAATCCCAGATTTTCCGATTCCATGTACACCATACCGCATCTGTTTTTTTTTTTTTTTTTTTAGTATAGAAACAAAGTAAAAGAAAGAAATACGTTTTTTACAATATTTACAGCATTTTAATTAATATTTTAATCAACATACCCCTCGTGATAACACCGCATAAAAGTGTTTCGGTCAGAGAACAAAAAAACCGCGTTTTCATATGATATATTTCATTTAATGCTTCCGACGCGTACAAACAATACCCGTATAAACTCTTGTAATAACACATTCATCTGTGTGTAGAGTTTAATTTACATGATTAATCGTCATTCTATACCTGACTTAGAACATTGTTTTTCATTCTATACCTAATGTGAACATTGTGTTTTTTTTTCTTTTTCACCATGCTTCGTAATTTTGACTTCGCGCATGTTTGTTGGCTATTTAAATATGTATTTCAATCAACGCAAATCACATTCCAGTCAAACTTAGCTTCCTGTTTTGTCCGAATTAAACGAAAATTATTTCAAAACTATTTCGAGCTTTCGAATTCTTAAATTAAAATTGTTGAATTTGCTTGCCGGCGAGCAAAAGTTTCAAGTTTTTTTTAGTAGAGGAGCTGAGTTCAAACTGAACTCACAGTCTTCCCCATCAATTAAAACTACAGACATCAAAATCGCTCTTTACGTGAGATGTAAGTAACAGAAATCGCGTAGGAGATGAAATTCCTGTTCCTGCAAACAAGTTCAAAAATTTTAATCTAAAAGGTTCGAAAGCTTATGAATAGCTTATAATTCTAAAATAGCTTTCGTTTGATTCGGACATGGGAAGAGAGAAAAGAATTAGTTCACCAGACTATAAAAGTCGACACTTGTTATTATTTTAATTATTGTCATATTAGTCATCACAAATTCTAATCACCCAGTTTAAATGCAGAATTTAAATAGAGAAAGTGTATCTTGAATGTATTTTTCAAAAATAATTTTGTTTATCCTCGAACGTTTAAAGACTTTGAAAAATTTGGGAAAATAACATTTTCTTTTGCACTACCTCGAGAGATTGCCGGAGAAGCTACGCGAAGATCCGTCACTTCGAACATTATAGTTTGCGCTGGCACTAGTTTTATTATCTCCCCCGACGTTAGACAGAGCTTTTTATTATCGTCCAGAACAGTGTTCATATTCTCGATCCAAACTGCATCAGTCGGTCCATCAAAAATGTACCAACGTTTGTCATCGTTCGTCGTCGCCACTATATCCGTTCGTATTAAAGTCGGCAATATTCCGTCTGTCCTAGAAATCGCGCGACATATTTCAACACTCGATTTTTATAAAATTTGCGCGTCCATGTCTATATTTTGGACAGTCGTTTGATCCATGAATATTGAAAAATTGTGTATACGTCATATTCTGTGCAATATGTGTTCGCATTTAGAAAGATTTATAGAGACGATGTGATGATTAATTTTTACATGTATTTTTTGTTTAATATTTTATATTTTAGTGCATGAAAAAATGTTCTCTTTTCTTTCATCTATACTTTCTTATAATATTGCACGCGCTGCAGCTCGAAACAGATGATAAAATGACACAGCTAATTACAAATGAGCTTTAATTTGCACGTATAACATTAAACAGTAAAAAGAGCATACCAGTGAAAATAAAAACCTTAATACCGATATTATGAGAATATTGCAATGATATCATTGCGATCTCAGTTGTTACACACATCACGATCCCACACACGATCTGTTTAATAAAAATTTATTATTAGACTAAATAAAAAAAGAGAGAGATTCTAACGAAAGGTTAACGTGTGAATAAGTGAGAGAATACATCGAAATAAATAACATAAAACTGAGAAGATTGAAATATTTACAAATTCATTGATCTATGTTTAATATGGTATTTGAAATTAATGATTATCGCAAATATTACAAACAAATAATTAAAAACGATGCTAATGTGAGAGTTCACTTGCGTTAAAATATCGAATTGCAATAATTACGACTAGACACACGTGTGCAAAAGCTGAATTTCAGATGAAATATGAATACTTTTACTAAACTTTAATTAAAAAACATATTATAGTTAAATGTTACCACACATGGATTAGTGCACATAATTGTTTTAAATATATTCAATTGTTTTGAAAAATATATTTGAGGGGATAAAATAAACAATAAAATAAAATTCTTGCGAAAAGAAGAAATAGTTTTACTGATGTATTTTTATCGAAACATTTTCTCTCTCTCTCTTTCTTACATTTAATTATCCAAATTGCACACCTACGTGATACACGATATATCATACGTGTCACTTACCATTCGCATGTGTTGAGATCGTATTCGCTGTACAGTTGGCCCAACGTTACGGCCTTTGGGTTCAGTACGTACGTGATAACCGTTGTAAACGGCTTGCTACTCGGTTGCAATTGACCTTTAAGGCTCGCCGTACATGCGTGTCTCAAGATCTCATAGCACTGAAAGCAAGTCATTTTTTCTTTTTATAAGTGTTTAAATCTCTATTAAATGTGTTTATTTTATAGAAGAAAAAATAGAAAAGACACATCACAAAATTAGCCAACTGTTCAATCGAAAATTAATACTAAAATTCAAATATACGGATAAGAGCCAAAAAACTGGCTGTCCGTGTTTGAATTAATAATTTATGTAAAAATGAGAGTCAAACGTTTCGATCCACAGTTTTTGATCTCTTCCTTATGGATCAAAACGCGTTTGACTCCCATTTTTAAATAAAATACCAATTCAAACACGGACATTCAGTTTTTTGGCTCGTATTGGCCCATTATATTCCTATATTTGAAATTTTCGCGAGCAGATATTTTGGCTAATAATATAAAATTCATTATGTAACACTACGTTGTCATTTGCAGTAGAGCCGAATATGATAAGTGTAGTAAACCGAGAAATTAGAGCATGTAATTAACCAGAAACATTTATTCCGGCACAACACGTCCGAGCGAATTAGTGAGTATGAAGGATGCGGAATGCGGGATGCGAAATGCAGGATGCGGAATGTAGGATACGGAAATGGGAATGTTAAATAGCATTGTAACAGAGCAAAACGAGTTTGTATTGTCTGTTACGTGTTCTGTCATTTTCATATGCACAGATTGCTTTCACGACGCTGTCTGTTTTCGTATACATATTGTTCCTGTTATTTATTGTTATTTTAACTTAATCAAGAAAAGCTTCCTTTTGTATCTAGAACCACACGAAAACTATAGTTCTGTTATTTGTATGTTAAAGCACTACATTCTAAAACAAGAAAATCTATCCTCACAACTCTTCGTTAAGAATTCGTTATAATTGTTCATTTTTTAAATAGATAATCGTAAGATTAATTTAAAGTTCCGACAGATAAAAATAAACTTTATTTTTTTCTGAGTAAAAGTAAACACTTTTTATCATATCTCATTTGATACCTCATCTTTTTCCAAGAGATTATTAAAAAAAGACAATATTGAGAGAGAGAGAAAGAGAGAGAGAGACAGAAGATAATTGAATGTCATAAGAAGTTATAAAAGCTCGATCTTTATGCAGACGCATTTAGGTAAATCTCTCGGTTATATTTGGTTGCTCGTGCATTTATCGAAAAATATCATAGGGAGGTATATTATCGAGTTTGTTTGGACTTCTACTACTCGTCACGCCCCGAGGTACATACACATGCATTAAGTGCATATATATTATCAGTATAAATCTGTATTAGCATAAATCCGTGCTGCATGTATTTATAAAGTGAAGGAGAGATTATACTATAATTTAATTTGTTTATTAGCGCAATATATTCGTACACACGATATATGCACACAAGATGAAATTAGAATATCGTTATTGCTCAACGGCGTAGCGCTAGAGAATTGCATTAGTAACGAAGCCATCCTATACGAATTGGAAAACTAACTAGGAGAGTTGATTGCGAAGACGATTGAGTCCGCGCTATGAAAATAGATTTGCGCGTATGTGCGATGAACAAATATATATATATATATATATAGAGAGAGAGAGAGACAGAGAGAGAGAGATCGATTAAACATTTTTCACGCATTATATTTTTTCTAGGAACAAAAAACCTATAAAGTAAATAAAATCCACGTTCTTTTTTTGTGAAATTAATTGAGATCGCAAAAAGCGACGTGTAAAGAAATATTGTGTAATCGAAGAATGAGAGAGAGAGAGAGAAATAATTCGTGCTAACTTGTTGGTACGATCTTTTTTTGTTTTTGTAATACGTAATAAACAATATCGGGAGAAATCGCAAGAAATACTTATGTGAATCACAAATCTCGTGCAGTTAATTTGACAGCGGATTCGACGTGTTTTATACGTTATCGCAGTTCGTAAATCTAATTGTGAGCATGTACCCATTATTTCGACAGTGTGTTTTCTACGCTACTAATAATAATATACAGCTACGATAATCTTTACACGTTTTTCAGACACACACAGTCGATTTCTGACAGATACACATCAACACACCGTTACACGGTGTAATAATCGGAAATTCGATAACGTACGTGTGAAGAAATTTATTGCAACGCAAGAGACAGATCTCGAATTTGTCGATATATAAAATGTGATAAAGCCATATACGTGTTACTATTTTTTACATTCTATGACGCGCGCAATATAACTGACTATAGCAAAAATTCACGCTTAATATTGTTTTTATCGCTTTAAAAATTGTTCACGCTCAAATCGTAATAAATGAATATTGCGAGATCGCTTATCGAGTGGCTAAATTGCAAACAATATCGTCAAGTTTCACGTGTGTTCGATTTTTATTATAGCGTGTGTAATATACACACGAAGATCATAAGAATTCCAAGCATTTTTACGAAAGAAGACGAATCGAGACTCCGTATCACTCATTGAACAAAAAATTTGTTCAAACAACGATCATTCGTGCGATTTCTTTCCTTCTCGCAATAGCGCGCACAATAGTGAGACATCAGAACGCATAGAATCATCGGTTACTATTCACGCAAATTCTTTTATGAGTTCATCAAAAAACCGATCTTTCGGTTTGCAATTCAAATAAGTTTGTTTTTTTTTCACTAGACCTTGTAAAAATGCAATCGCAACTGCGCGATTTTTAACATCCTCAATTTTTATGTTTTTTTCCTCCGCTTTTGCGCGATAAAATATTTAATATAATATTACACATTCAAAGATACGTAGATACATGCAGATATCCGTTAATATATTATGCCGGGTCGGTTATTTTTTTAAGAGAATTTTATATTATTTTTCTCTTAAGGGTGCGCGTATAAAAGAAAACGCGGCGCGCGATGTTTTTTTTTTTTTGCCTCATATACTTTTCGCGGCGTCAAAAGGTACACGTCGCGGTGTGCCTTTGACGACAACGCTCTCGACGATATCGACAACGACGACGGCGGCGGGCGTCGAGACGCCAGGCATCGGATTCTCTAAGCGCATGCGGCGCGCTCGGAACTTTTCGGCCGGCGTAGATGCGTTCGCGATAGAAGCGCTCTCAGTTTATCCCCGACGACGTTTCCCATCGCACAACGTGCACACAAAATTTTTCCTCGCGTTCACCGTTTCTTTCTCCCTCCCCCCCTTAATCTTTTAAATATAAAAATAGTATATAAAATATATATTGTTTTTTATCACGCTGACGCGCTCGGTGAATTCTGTTGAAACTTTTCGCGGGTCCGTTTTCGCCGAAAAACGCCGATTGCAATTCGCGCGTTACAATTCGATTAGCGGAGGGATGAAGTTAGCAAAAAGTTTTTTGCGCGTTTCGCTCCCGTGTGGGTGGAATTTAAATAAAAGTGATCCGCGTGCTATTTCTGTCGTTTGTTCGACCGCCTAAAAAAACTCTGGTGCGTTTTGGGAGAAGTTTCAAATGAACTTTGATAATTTGGCGATCGATAAAACCGACATATTAACAATAAAGAGAAAAACCTCTTCTGTGAGTTCGAACGTATTCTGACTTTTGAAATAAAAATTACGAAAAATAAACATATGTATATACCGCACGTATTATGTTGTAATTGCATTCGAGATCGCGAAGATTGGAAAAGTTCGAGGGTCGACGATCTTTCGATGGTGTTTTAATTGAACGTTCAAACTGTATCGTGCGAGAAAAAAATTGGCGTTTTGTCGATTAATAAGATCATGGGATTAAGTCGGCGGAGGGTGAGAGTCGGCAAAAAGAAACGGGACGTGATCTCTCTTTCGCGAAACGTCTAAGCAGGCTATGAAAAAGCACAAGTTCCTCGTATAAAAGGCGCGACGACGGCGAAAATCCCCGAGTATATCTATAAAAATATCAACTCGCGGCGCTCGCTACATCAGGAAGATAAATTATATTTTCAATCTCTGCTTTTCCCTCTCTCTCTCTCTCTCTTGAATTTTCAGCTCACTGCGCCGAGCGCAAGAGCGGAGATACGAAGAGAGGCGGAATTAAATCGTACAAGTGTGTTGCGTGATATAAAGTCTAATAATACGATATAATCTCTCACCCGGCGCCGTGATGTATGACAACTGAGCATCAATTTGCTCCGTAATCATATCGCTTTTCTACAAAACAGAAATGAGAAACATATCTCGTGTGAACTTGTCGTAATACGCATCGGTGACGTCTTAGTGCAATCTATTAATCGAACGGTAAGTTAATGTGTTGTTTTCGTAAATATTCAACGATCACGTCTTATGTAACTATCGAAGAAAAATTGTTTGCGCGACGATTATGTTGATCAATAAATACGGCAATATTTTTGATTGAATACAATTTAAAAAAAAAAAAAATCTAACGTTAACATATACACTGTATAATTGTTGCAAAATATTGCATTTAACGCGCGAGAGAAAATATTATCCGGATTCTGTTACTTGTACAAGTCACGATCGCTCCGTATCAGAAATTCGGAGCCGGTGAGATTCGCGGGGGGATTGTGCCAGAGATTCAGGATCTATTCGAGTCAAGGTTGAGAGCGGGTTGAGAGAAGAAACGAACACACACACGCGGCGCGCGATGAATTGCATTCTTGCTGAAACGCGTGTTTATCGATCTCGCCCCAAGCCCACACTTCCGCATTTATCTCGCCGCTATAAGAAACAGCCGCCCGCGTGAATACGACGGCGAGAATCGCTCTCTAAATCACGATCTTTCCGCGATCTCTCGTCGATTCAACCGCGCTCGATCGGATCGAAGAAAGTCAAAGCGCGGAAACACATTGAAACCCAATTAAAAAAAAAAAAAAATCAATTACAGAAAAGTGTTAAGTGAACCGTAAAAAACGCGTGTTCTCGTTTTCCGCATTAATGAAAATCCCGAGAATTTGTGCGATAACTACAAGCAAGAACAAATAAACACCGATTGCTTTTGTTCTCATTAATACGTTCCGGCGCGCTAATTGAGAATATACCGTAAAGGTTTTCCCTTCTAAAAGCTCGTGTCGCGCGCGAAATGTACCCCTCACGCGGCGCACAGACAGCTCACGTTCCTTTAAATACGTTTTCGATGTTACCCTAATTATCGCGCTAATTGCGAGCCGTTCAGTAGATTTTCGTTCAATTTAATTGTTGACGTGCGCGTAACGCGCCGTTAATATAGAATCTATTAACTCCTAATGTATGACGAGCCGCAAAATGATATTACACATCCCCATTGTCGGGTACAATGTGAAATGTATTCTACCGTTACATTGTCGGATTTAAATCGGAATTTAACCGACTTAATTGTAATTTTCTCAAAAAAAACCGAATTAACGCATTCCTCGATGAAGCGAAACGAGTCGCAGAAAGATCACCGAAATCCGAACACAAATGTTTTAAACGGCACGTTAACGCGCGCGCGCGCGCGCGCAACAAAATTAAATCCGCTCGAAATTGCATAGATTGCAGTTTTCACGCGGCCGCGCCGTCACCGTTGGCGCGCAATTAAACTCAATAGTCGCGATCAAACTCGACGTGCAAACGGTCATTATCTTGCATTCGAATAACGAGTGTTTAGACGGGGAAAGAAACATTTGCCGTCAGTAAATACGGGCGAAAATTTTTACACGCGAATTCTGCGCTCAATACTACAAGCGCCGCCGATGGTTCGGGATGTCAACGACATGTCTCGCGCGATATCTTGTCGCGTGTGTTCTCGTTCGCCGCCAGAATGCTGTTCTCGTTTTACAACCCCCGCGTCGCGCGTATTGATTCGAATAGCCTTTCAATCCAATGGATTTTGAAGCGAACAACCGCGCAGAAATAGATCACGAATCGGGTTTTACATATTTAATATTTTTCGCGCTCATCCGTAACATCATCCGCGATATCGATTTTCTGCATATTTTAAAGAATTCGTCGCAACCTCCCTCTCCCCCCCCGTCACTCGTTTCGAACACAAATTCTCACGTTGTGTGACACTTCGATAAAAAAAAATAAAAAAATAACAAAATAAATAAATAATCCAAAAAAAGTTACATTGCACATTGTTTGTTCGTGCGCGATGAGTTTTTTAGCGCGATTATTTTCAAAATTCCGTCGTCGATTCACGGTCGATGAAAATTTCAAAGCTCTCGTACAAATCGTACATGCGTGTTATTCGATAGGTTTTATCAGCGTGAATTATGCGTTTCGACGAGGGACTGGAAATTCTCGATGAACAATCATCTCGCCGATTATATCAAGCCCTACGAGCATTCGACGCAATCCTGCGGTCTGGTCTGTATCAGCGACGTCATATCTACGAGTCTGGAGACCGGTCAGTGATATTGCAACGTGTGACTTGCGCTGATGCGCATCGCGCTCGACCGCGTTAGAGATCTAACGAGGTTTTTTTTTTTCGCGGAGTCGACTCGACGAGTCGAAGTTAGAGAGACAGTTCTTTTTTTTCTGTTGAACGGAAATCTCATCCGAGGCGACGACCATGCTGACGCTTCAAGATTTGTCGAGCAGAGCCACGAGGTGCCATCAGATATCGATAATGACCGGCGACGACAACGGCGATCTGTTGCGATTTCGACGATCGGTATCGCCGACGACGGTCTGGTCGAACGTCACCAATTACGATTACCAGAATCACAGTCGCGAGATGTTATTCGACATGAACGAAGACGAGACGTCCGCGATTTGTACCTCGCTTTATTTTTTCCTGGACTTTTGCCACGTGTATTACATACCGGCCATCATCCTGCTTGGTCTGGTCGGCAATCTGCTGTCGTGCGTGGTCTTCCTGAAGACGCATCTGAAGCTGCGCAGCTCCAGTTACTACCTGGCAGCGTTGGCTTGCGCCGACTTTGGTTTCCTCATGTCCCTGCTGTTGGTGTGGCTCAACAGCACGCTCGGATGGCGAGTCTTCAACAACGACGGCTGGTGCGAGACGCTGGTTTACGTGAGCGCGGTGTGCAGCTCGCTCAGCGTCTGGCTGATCGTCGCCTTCACCGTCGAGAGGTTCATCGCCGTGCAATATCCGCTGCACCGGCCGCACATGTGTACCGTGGCGCGGGCCAAGATGATCATCCTTTTGCTGACGTTTCTCGCTCTGATCAGCCACTCGTACGCCTTCGTCACCGCCGGGGTGAGACAGAACCCGTACGGCGATGACGTGTGCGACCTGAAGATCGAGTATCTGGAGACAATGCAGATCATCAGCATCATCGACAGCATCGCCAGCCTGATTGTACCGCTCGTGCTCATCATCGTGATGAACACGATGATCATGAGAAACCTCTTGAAATTCGGCAGGCGGTTCAAGGAGGAGGCGATCTACGCCACAAATTGCCCGGGCGGGCACAAATCCGACATCAATCTCAATCAGATCCCGGTGAGTTTGGTTTTTTTTTCCTCGCGAAAAGAATCCCGTCTCTTAATCGCATCTTGATGTGATTTTAATGTCATCTCGTGACGTGCATGGATATATATATATACGTCTATAATGAAAAAGACACGCGTTGCGATACTTATGGCAGTTTGATGTGACGAGGCTTTTCTTTTTTGATGCTCGTCGAAAGTCTTTTCCGTACGTTCGAGAGAAAAAACTGATTTGCTCGGATCGCGCTGTTAAAGATTTTCACCGATATCGAAATGGGATAAATTTGCGCGTGATAAAGATTTTTTAAACAGAAAAAAAATGTTGTGAAAGCGGGTGGAAGTGTTGCGGCTTTGCAAAATGAAATTCTCATGAAGCTCTCGGAATGAGACGCGCTCGTGATATATATCTGTTAGAAAGTGTTTCTTCCCACATATGTTATCATAAATCTCTATGAGTAAACATCGAGAGATCGTGTGCCGCCGACTATTGAGTTGCGTGCTCAGCCACGCATGCTGCTCAGTGAGAGACGATAGTGCACATCTCCGGCGCGAGCATATGTAACCTGAAACATCAACAAACCTGGAAATAGTTTAACCGCCCCCGCGAATCCAAAAAACCCTTCCGCACCGTAACCCCGGGCGGGGGGAAAGGATAAAAAGAGCACGTGTCGGAATTGATTTGCTTCGAAAATAAACGGGACTCACCTCAGCCGAGAGAGTCAACAACAAACACTCTTCTGTACAATTGGTACGTAAATACACATACGATATGATATCGCAGGCACGTGCCCACACGAGTGTTGAACCAGACAAATCGCCATCGGCTTGTAACGAAAGAGAATAAGTCGGCAAAAATTTCAAAAAGCGCGTATTGGCTTTTTCTGTTTAGTCGCGCAAAAAAATACGAATTTCGTCGTTTTGTTTGTATATATATACGTATACGTCGAATCTCGAAATATATTTGTTTTCGGATCACAAAAATTGTGTCGATCATCGTCGCGAAACGTGGTCGGTATCAGAGAAAACGTGCCACCGTCAAAATGCGGCTTGTAGACTATTTTCGACCGACGTATAAATACTCGTCGGCTTACATAACGAACCGCCATTCATCTTTACGAATCGACATGCGTGCACCGCGTTGTCGTTTCCTGGCGCTATCCGTTCTCACTTCTAATCGCCCGTGTGAAAGAGCGTTATCACTATATATTATGTATCTGGTTTTTTTCTTTCGCTCAATGATATCGCGCTATCATCGATCGGTGGGTGGAAACGCAGGGGCGGAAAAAAAGATTGCGACATAAATCTCGAGATATCTCTTGGATTGAATTCGCGCTATTATAATTTCTGCAAGTTTAAAAACACATGTGCAAAAAACTTTAGAGAGAGATATATGGAAAAGAAATAATATAAGGATTATATATGTATATATAAAGACCACAGGAGAAGACCTTGATGAAGTCACATTTTTGTATTTTAGAGGAGAGCGATTTTTAAAGTCCGAAACGTACGTGTATTTTTCTCTGTACAAGTTTCATAAAATCGCTTATATCTCGGAATCTATCAAGAATTTTCCTCTCTCGCTTTAGTTAATTAAAATGCTCCATTTTAACCATAAAATAACATCAAAAATAGAAAATCGAAAAAAACGGACTAATCAAGTTCTTTTTCTGTGGTTTTCGTATGAAATAGTATGAAATAGTCGACAAACCCTATTTTGACGTGATTTTTGGCACATTGTTTCCGAAACCAACCATGTTTCGCGATGATAATCAAAGAATTATTATCAGAACATATTTGTTACTAAAACAGTATCGAATATATCGCGTTGATTTAATTTTTTTAACGTTTTCAGAATATAAATATGATTAGTTTTTGATATTATAATTTTTTATTGTTTTAATATTGTGTTTTTATATAGAGAAAATAATAAAAGAACATTTATCCACAATAAAATAACGTTTCTACATATGTATTTTCTCATATTCAACATCGCTGTTGTTCTATCAGAAATCATAGCTAAGTGCAATAACATTATATGTTGGTCAGATGAAATTTGTTAAAATTTATCTCTTCATTGGAGGTACGAAACATATAAAAATAATATAAACTTTCTCGCGCGCGCGTGTGTATGCGCGCAAAGTTCAGATATACAAATCACTCTCTGCGATTTGATGTTAGACGATTTGACATTTAAGATTCTCTTTAAACAAAATTTCTAGAAAACGGTGTTTTTGCGGAGACACAAACGTGTCGTTTGCGTCCGATTCAATTTACGATATGCATAATTTGACGTTTCTTAGTTGAAAAATGAAAGAGAACGAGAATTAATATTTTACCGAGAGAGATTCGTATATTTACACGTGTTTTTCTCATTAATCATCACTTTTCGAGCACATTTTGTTTGCGTGTAGATGTAAAATACGATTATGCGGCAAAATACGAAAAAGGTCAATTTTAATAGAAAAATTGCAAAGTCATCATTTTGTAAATTACAAACGTATATATCTATGAAATATATATTCCCAAACGTCACATCTTCTTTTCTCGAACTCTACTTTGTAACAATATATACGAAGAATCTTATTTGTATGAAGAAAAATCCTTTTACTTTGACTGCCATCTATATGGGTCTCTCGCGTCGTTTTCTGCGAGATATAGATTTTGTCTTCACAAAAATACGTCAAGAACTTCGCAACTATAGGAAATGAAAAGGTACGATTATGTGAAGAATAAAAAGACCAAAAACTCCACCAGAATGGAAACGTGGTTGTGAGATGAAAAGAAAATGCGATGAACTTGAAATATTTACTTTATAGCGTGAGCTGACACGTGGCGAGCGAGCAAATCTTTATAAATTTCCGAGTCGCTGGTTCGAACAAAACGCGCTGCTTGCACATGTTGCTTTACCTGTTTTGCATATCGTTTTCGATGCTTGTGTGATATTTATCTGCATTTGCGCGCTTCGCGAGCACTCAATCACATTAGAAAATTTCTTGACACAAAGTCGCTGTCGACTTCAAAATGAATCGATTGAAAGAAATTAAGTGCTAACTTGTCGCTTCAAGAGTTACTATTTTGTTGACAAAAATTGAGTGGAATTTAAATGAAAATTCACTCATTTCTCACGCAGTAGCAGAGACGCGGGTAAAGAGCTCTTGTAAACACTGCAATGTCTGCAACCTGTCGCGCGCGCGCGCGAATTATTTGCGCGCTACCGTGACATTTGTATTTGTACGCAATTAATTAAACAATAAAGAGTTTCAATTAACTGTCATAGAAAGCGTGCAATGCGAGCGCAAAATAAACTTACACATTTACGTATCCATACGTGCACGATGTGCAAAATATACGCGACGCGCGTATTTTCATAAAGTTTGCGAACTTAAAAAAAAACAAAAACAAATACCTTTTTGTACGTCGTCATTTTATACCATACCTATATGTAATATGGACTAGTATAAAATTCACTTCATTTGGCAATAAAAACAGTTTTCTGGTACCCAATGAAGTTAACAAATCAACCTCGATATTTTGTTGATTATTAGAACTACTGTTACCAAATGAGTGGATATCACAGGTGTATTTTTATCGAAGGTCTGATTTAGTTTGTTTTTTAACTCGATTGAAAAAGATTGGTTCGGATAAAAATCCTAAGACGTTGAGTGAACTCGGGACCTTCGTATTCGTAGACCCTGCACTCCAATCGCGAGGCCAGGTCTTGCGCTTCACTGCTTTCAAGACACATTGAACTACAACGACAAGAAAATGTTCTTGACAGATATTCGCATCAATTAAATAAATTACAAAAAGTATTGGTCAGTAAAAAGAAAAGACCGCAAATAACAAACTAAAGATGTAAGGTGATTCTTTTGTCGAGCCAGATATTGTTAAGTTTATGAAAGCAAAACTATTAAAAGTTTGGATGAGAAATATTACCTCATCCTGCAAATTTTACTAACATTGCTCCATGCCATTATCATTTATTCCGAAAGATACAGCACACTCTTAAGAATATCCACTTTCAAAATTTTGAAGAAGTCAAGAATCGATGATTTGATGTGTAAATTAGAGTTGTGTGACAAACTTCCCGATTTTATCAGAAAAATGAAGAAAGATTGTAGCAAGTAAAAGGGAAAACGTTTTGTTTGGAAATGTAAGGTTTCGTTTTCCAACTCGATTGAAAAGGACCGGCTCGAGAAAAAAATCCTAAATTCATTGAGTGGATTCGAAACTCGGGACCTCCATATTCACAATTCTTGCACTCAGTTTGCGAGACCAATGAGCCCGTCTGTACAAATCGCGCTCCATTCCGTTGGAATTCTATTGATGTTTTTTTTTTTTTTTTCATCGACGTGTTCTATTGAAGATCTTTCTCGTATGATGGAACTTTCTATTGTGTATTCAGTATGTTTTTGCTGCAATATATTCAAAAGTTTATTTATCTTACTAAACAAACAGATGGAAACGATTAAATTTTCTGTGCGACGTTTCGTTTTCGCAAAGTATGTTTAAAATATAATAATAAAATATAATAATATATATATTACTTTTATATAAAATTACTTTTGCGTAAACATATCTTTGACATTTTACAAAAATTCATATAAAAAATTTAACCTTTAAAATCAATCACAAAATTCATTCATTTTTTATATTTGCACTTACCGCGGTTTATATTTTTTATTGTATTCATGTGTCATTTTCTATATTCTGAAAGTGCGCTTTTTATATTTGTGTGTGACAAATTACCACAGGAAATTTTCTTTTTTTCTTATTTTCGCGTCTCTCTTTTGCTTTTAATTGTTGCATTAGCCGTTGTACAATGTGCTATATACTTTGCGCGAGATGAAATCTTGAACATAAAACAAAGTGCTAAAATATAGGGCACGACATTCTTTGTGTGTGTCACTATTCTTTTAGCTTCGGAAACATACCGTACGTATTCCATAAAATATCATCAATTTTTGTTGCTTTATCAGCGACAAGTATTGTTATATAATTTTGTGTTACTAAGGATTGCAGCAAAAAGAAAAGAAATACATTGGCGCAATTATCATTAACTTAATATCTACGATAATCTCCAATCAATTTCGTTGAATTTAGAACTAAATTGTTCCTTATAGATGGCATTTTTTAATATTAGAATAAAAACTATCAAATGCACGTACATATACGTATCATATATATTGTTGCCGTATCATATATATTGTAATAGCTGCGCTATTCATATCGGTGGAAGAAAAAAAACGGAAGAATCGGCTTGACGACGAATATTTGATCAAAAATTTTTTAATTAGATTTTGAATCAGAGAATCGGAGACGTGAGGCTCTGATCGTTTCTTTCGGTTGATTCGATGGTAGAACGTGTTGTATCTTATAGTAATTCAATATAAAGACTGTGTTTTCTTTTGTAATTCTCGCGTACAACCATTTTGAAAAGCCGCGAGTTACGCGCACCGGTAACAATATTAAATATGTTCCGAATCATATATTTTAGTATTTATATGTACTTAGATCTATTCCAGTATTACATAATTTCTTACACTAGAAGCAGAAAAGTTGTAATAGAAATGAAATTATATAGTCAACTGACATATATTTTCTTTTCACATGCTTTTTTTCGCGTGCAGATTTTCGGATTTGTAACTTCTTTCTGCAAAATTGAGAAATAAATCTCTTCAAACGACTGAATTTCAATTCTTTTATTGCTTCTTCGACAAAAAAAAAAAAAAAAAAGAAAAAGTTGAAAAGAAAAAAGCGCGGATGCGGAATCTTCGTCTCTTATTTATACCCCTCCTAGTATTCGGGACAATACCCTCAATGCATATTGCGTTTCTTCTTTTACGCTTTATGTATATTCAATCCTTGTGTACCCGAGATGTGCTTCAGAACATAAATACTTGAATATTCTCTTTGTAACTTTATCCACTCTGACGGTATCTAATAACACCACTTCCAACTTATCGTACACGCGCGACATTCGTTAATAATAAATTTAACCACTTACATTGAAATGACGAGTTCAACTCAGCTTTTCATGCCAAAGTTTGCGCAACGACGAGCTGCACTCGTCAGGAATTTTTAAATAATGAAACATTTTAACTACCAAGAACATGTGAAAAAAAGTTAGTGTAATGCTTTTGTACAGTTAGATGAAGAAAAATGTGAGAGCGTTATTTTGCGTTTGCATAAAAATGACAGTGAAAGAAATAGCGATGGCATGTGTGAGCATGATTGCCTGCAGATAAATTGCATTGAAAGGAGGATTAATGATACTTAAATGATAAAAATAGTAGTAGTAATAGTAAAACAAAGCGTCTCGTATATAATCTATATTGAACGAGAGAGAAAGAGAGAGAGAGAGAAACCTATTTTTGTACATATATTTCAACAAATATTGTATACTTCAAAAAATTTCAGATAAGATTTAACGTAATTTGTTTGACAATGGTGGCGAAGTAATATGATTAATTTGTATTACCGCTCATTAAATTCATCATTCTATCATAATGGCGCGTGCATTTGTTTGGGTAGACGCGCGTTTGGCTTCGATGGAAAATGCTCTTTTATCCCTCAATATTCGACGCAATCGATTGCACTTGATAAAGCATTCTGCATGTTATACATTTTACATTTTGGAGTATCGACCTTCGATTTCGACGCGAAGAAAATTAGAGATAAAATTTTGAAAAATATCGATTTAAAGAGCGGTATAGGTATATGTATAATTACGTAATATCAACCATCAAGTAGTTTTGGTTTGTTGATGCGAAAAGGTGACACAGATGTGGAAATGCTCCCGAAGTGTTTCCTGGCCGTTTGGAGGATTAGTTCCGTGCTACCAAGTTGAATTTGGAATTCACAAACACGTACACATTGAGTACAGAGAGGGTAAATCTTCCGTAACTGTATTGCATTAATACAGCACCACGAGAAATAGAAGATTATGTTGTCAATAGAGACAGAGAGAAAGAGAGAGAGAGAGAGTTAGAGCTCCGCAATTGCTTAATAAAGATAGAATACACACACGTAATAAGATCAAAAAATAAAGAGGGAAAACACTTCGCATATAAAGTTTTCTATAGAATAATAAGACGTATACGTTTACATACGCGGGTCTTATTTTTCATATATGTTTTACATATTATTTTACACATTAACGAGAAACACAATACTCGGAGAAATTATCCTTTATATTATAATTGTGCAATACGTGTTGGTACACACGTGCAGAAAATTTTAATTAATTAATTAGAATATTGTACATAATTCTGATGTATATAGAGATTAAATTATTTCAATGTGTGAAACGGAATGATTATGAACACGTCAAATTTATGTTAAAATGAGATTTTCCAAGAATATAGCTGAAGTGTTCATTGTTGCAGCTTATACAATAGAACGATTTAAAATCATTAAACACATAGCATATAAAATGATGTTGAATGCTTTGTGATGTATTCGAAGTGCGTCAATCACTACATGACTATATTTAATTCAAGTAACAATAATTTAATTTCACGCCGTATAGCGACTATATAAAAACACATTACCCGTATGAACTTTAATATCTATCGTGAATAATGATCGCACAATGCGCACATACACACATACTTAACTCAAGTTTATATAAAGTGTTCTAAAATCATCGTGAAAATTATTTGAGAAACACCAGAGAATTTTCTCTATAATGAATATACAATACAAATAGTAAATATACAATACAAATAGAGTTAATAATTCCAGCAAAACATTAGTAAAAAAAGAATTATTGTGCAAATTTTCAAATTTTAACGTAACATACACGTAATCAGATTACGAGAAGTTAAATATTCCTTTCTCTCAAGAGAGAAAGAGAGAAAGAATTTAAAAGCATATCCTCTTACGACTGCAGAATTGCTTCCACCTTTACGAAAGTTCAAGCGTGTAATTACTGGATTATTTAACTAAGAATCGCTCGAGAAAAATATATAGTTTCAGGGAATTACATTTCGTGTAAACACAAACGTCGTAAATTTTATTTTTCGTGTATTCTTTCTTCTCTTCTCTTGTTACTTTAAGCAAGAGTTTGCTTTTGCAATGATAATATCATAAATTAAACTTGTAATGTTACCGAGAAAAAAATTGATATTAAATTTTACGTTATTTTAATTTTTTGATTACTAAAAACTAAGTACGCAACATAATTACGTATTTTGTTGTCGACAAAATATGTAAATTATACAAAGAAAAAATATATCATCGTTAGAGTTTTCTGGAAATTCAATTTTTATTAAATAAAATGTAGTTCAAAAGCTATATGTGGCAATTTATCAATATATTGACATAAATATACAGTTTATTTGTAATATATATGTATATATGTATAAAATAAATTTCTATCCGAGAAAATATAATAAATAGATGATACACACATCAAACGACTCTTCTGTACAATGTGTACTTTATATTCAGTCGTGCAACATCGAAATAGAATTTATTATCATCGCGCTTAACTGACAGTGAGCGGAACGCGAAATTTTTCTGCTAAACACTGATGTGAGAGAAATAAAATGCTTGTTAAAGAAAAGTGTGCGAGAATTTAAGTGTGCTCAAATAACAAAGAAAATAAAAAAATATTAAAAGGAAAGAATTTTACTTTATAATAAAAGTTTTTATTTGAATATTTTTATTATCGTAAAAAAAAAATAAAACTCGCAGTTTATGACACAAGCGTGCGCAACTAAATAATCGCACCTTGAGCTTGCAAAAAATATGTGTCACAGAAAATTGCGCCTTAATTCTTTGTCCTACTTTAACGAGTTTTACTCGCATGGATTACGGAGTATTCATTACGTAACTATTCGAACACAATTCCGATCGGAATAATTTCGACTTCTATCGTCTTTTTCTTTTTTTTCTCGACAAGAAAAGAAAAAGAAAAAACAGATCTTTGTAACACAACCGCGCACGGAAAAAAAGTTTTATTATTATATAACCAGTAAGAAAAATTTGCTTAGCCTATTGAAGTTTTTGTTTCACTAAACAAAATGTTTTGTTGATAAAGCAACAAACTTAATTTATTGGGTCATTATGAAACTTAATAAATATATATATGTATATATATAAATAAAATATATAAAATAGATATAAAATATATAAATATGTAAAATATTTTTATATAAAATATATATATATATATATATTTAGCAAGTTTCATATTTCTTATTCAGCAAAAATTTTAGTTTTGTCCATAATTTACACAAATAGTTTATTTTAAACGTAACTTTATACGTGAAATACATCGTATGTGATTATTTTTTGGTCTCTCAATTCTCTCCATTCGACGTAACAGACGCCATCGGTTTTCTCGCCCGTATTTTCATCCAAAATCCACCTTCCGCCATCATGATGAACGTTCGCTTGTTCAGCACCATGGGTATTACGGTTTTAACATCAGGTTCGAGCTCGCAGTGCCACAATAGATAGAACATCATGATTTTCGCTTCCATTATGGCGAATCTGTTGCCTATACAAATTCGTGGTCCAATACCAAACGGAATGTAAACAGAATTGTCCACTTCCCCATTCAAGAATCTGTCAGGATCGAACTTGTCGGGGTTTGGATAGTACGTAGAATCGCGATGCAAAGCGTAACTAGGAAACCAAATGGACTGTCCTGGTTTCACCTTGATTGGTTTCGCGTCCGGAGTCGCCGGCGGTAATTCGTACTCTTTCACGCAAATTCTGTCTAAGAAAGCCGCCAGCGGATACAGTCTGAGGGTCTCATTGAACGCCGCGTCCAAATACTTCATTCCATTGATAGCCTCGTAAGTGGGTTTGCCGTTAGTCTCTCGAAGAACGTCGTCGATCTCTTCCTTCAATTTTCTCTGAACGTCAGGATTGGCGCCGACTTCGTGCACAAAGAAACACATAGCCGTCGACACGGAGTCAAATCCCGCCAAGAAGAAAACAAACGCCTGAGCGGTCATCTCATTGATGTCGAACAAGGGTCCGTCGCTTTTATTCCTGGTCTCCATCATCAGCTGAATCATATCCGGTCGATGTATGCCCTTCTCGTCTCTGACCTTCACCGTCTCGGTGACGATACTTTTGAAGAAGTTTTCCACTTTTGAACTAAACACCTTAAGACGCAAGTATTTCGAGAGCTTCGGACAATTTCGGTTTATAAACATTTTAGTGGAGAGACTAGAGTCAAAGTTCATGGCTTCCTTGCCGAGCAGAAAAAACTCGTTATTTTTGTCCTTGAACGAGTTCACGCTAATGCCGAAGGCGCATGTGGCCACCACGTCGTTGGCATATCTGGACAGCAAATCTTTCACATCGTACGTTTTGCCAGTCTCACCGGACTCGTTCGCCACGTGAGTAGACAGGTTCTCCGCGCACTGAACCATCAATTTAAACATAATTTTCATCTTGCTAGACGTAAAGGTCGGGCTGAGAAGTTTTCGCATCTCGCGCCAATGATCTCCCCGTATATTGAAAAGATTTTTACTGACCAATGGATCGAGCTCTTCGTTCAAGAAGGCGCGATGATCGCAGAAATTGTCAAAATTCTTGATGGCGATTGTGTTGATCAGGTCCGGATCGCGAATCACGATAACCGGCGTCATTAGATCGTAGAGTCCGAAATACTTCGTCCGAGGAAAGAGATTGTACAATCTCTGTATTTTAATCATTATAGCGGTGCGTTGCAGAATGACGGACGTCATATTGCCCAGAAACGGTAACGGACGTTCGTGTAGAATTCCCATTTTTTTGAAATGCGACAGCTTACTCAGAGCGAAATAATACAGACAAATACCAGCCGCGAGGATGCTCAGAATCAAAGTAGAAGTCTCCATGGCGATACTTTGGTTCTCGTATCCGAAAAATAAAAGCGTCGTTGTAACAAATTTTGTCAATGGAACGATCACAAATTGTCGCTAATTTTGCTGTTCAAATAGTCTTGTTAACTGCCATCGCAACTTCTGTGTGTAGACTGGAGCCGGTCTCTTGCTGTTAACAAGTGTGTACCCAGAGAGACGGGATGTATTCTCGATTGATAAACTGAACTGCGCATTGAATATGCGCGAATACGACAGATCGTTTCTCGTCGGCGAATAAAAGATAAACAACTCGATCGAGCATGCAAATTCGAATGTCTGCAACTTTATATAATTCTCTTTTGAGAGAGTTATATAAACCTCTCTTTTGAATGAAGATAAAGCAATCATCGATTCATCACATGCTTGAAGACTTTATGCATTTATTGATGGAAGTTTGCTTTATTTGATAGCTGAAGGTTAACTGACAATGTTTTTCATCATTGTCATTTTATTTAATGTTCTTGGAAATATTGCGTTTTAACAATTTTATTACGCATGTTTAGACTGACAAGAAGAAATATAACGATGTCGTGATACGACGATTATCGTGATAAATTGAAATTCTATTTGTAGAATTTCCATAGTTTTTTTTCTAATCTTATTTAAAAATCTCTTCATTAATTCTTGCAACTGTTTATTTTATTTCTTTGTTATCTTATCGAATTCAACACGAACAAAATTAAAATTATCTTATTCGTACGTAAGGTTTCACGACATTGGCAGTGTTCAGATTCAGTTACTTTAACGGTGTTACATAACACTCATTTATAATGTGTTTTATCTGCTTACATGACGTAATACGCATTTCTAGTAATAAATAACGTACTATCGAAGTGAATTGATTAAAAGTCCATTACTCGCGCACGTGATACACGAGTGATAAGAGAAACGTAAGTGTCAGGAAAATTTTTTTCTTGTTTGTTTTTAGTTCACATTTCTTTCTTTGATCAATTGTCGAAGCGATATTATATAGCACGCCGTCGCGTTGCCGCAAGAAAAAGATCCCATTACGAGTCTCACCGTCGCTGCGAAGCGATGCTTTTTCTTCGAAACACACTTTTAAGCGGAGTTGTCACGCAATGCTCTTTATTTATCGCGCAAATTAAATTTGAAAGAGTTTTTCTTGTTGCGTTTTTTAAATAAGAAAAGTTCTTTGATTGTACGCAGAACTCGAGTTTCCGTGCCGTATTGAATGATCGTGGAAATTATTACAACGACGGTTAAAATTCTGACACGAAATTGACACGACTGCGTGACAATACGGCAATTCAATGATACACGAGAGATAAAACGAGAGATAAAATAAAATATCAATACACCGGTGCATTTATTGATGTAAAATTTGTCTCTTGACGCTATATGAGATTCAATTGAGTGGAATTTTCAAGGCTTTCGAAATATAAGTGATAATCGTGCCAAGAGAAAGAGAGATATCTATACGTCAATGAGACAAATTGCGACTTGAAATTAGGGACAAGCGGTTTATCAAATAAATACGACGATAATAGAAACGATGGTCTGAGAAATGAATGAGCACTTGATACGTCAGCATGATTGGCACCCTAAGAACGCTCTAAATAATCTCGTTATTACTTCAAGTAAACACAAAGATCAGCAAAATTGCTGGGTCATCGAGCTGGCTCGTGTTACTTGATAAGCGTGGTTTCTTTTTTTATGCAGCATAATAATATATCAATTACTGTTTTGTAAAGAATTTTGCTTATTTTTTTTTGTCTTTTCATGTTTTAAAGCAATGATTTTTCACCTGTGTTTTCGTTACAGACCATCAAAATATTCCCAAGAGAAACCTCTATTTAAATTACACACACACAACTAAGATACAAAAAAGTACAATGTGTTATTTCAATTTAAAACAAAAATTGAAGCAGAATATGTGCAGAGAAAACATTTATATTACTGAATTTACTGCCGAACTATGTCGATTACTTCACAAAAATATCATATTTCGTTTCATAAAAAAAGATAATTAATTTTATTCGTTAACACAAAGACAAATAATCTCATATACTTGTCGCCATAGTGGGGCTATGTATGTGACGTGATAAAAACTAATTGCAGAAAACGGACCAAAAAGTGTCAACTTTATCGGTTGTTTATTAATTGAACGATCGTACGGGCAAACACGCGGATAAAACCTATCATAACTACCGTTTGCGTATTTACAGCTCGCCAACAGTGAGCGCGTTTTTAACGAAGAACGTTTGCTTTAAAGAACAAGCGTTGATTTTTTTACACAAAATTTTTCAGATGCATTTAATTTTCTCGCTTTACGGCGCTGAATATAATAAACTTCGCGCAATATTCGTGTGTTTATCTCGAATGACTCTGCTCGTCAAAGTTGCACTTACGCACACATCTACACAGCGTACACATGTTACATTATATTTATGAAAAAAAAATTTGCTTTTTATTACGTGTCACATTTAAATTCAAAAAAATTTGCAAAAAACGATTATACACGAAAACAACATTCCGGTGTTTTAATGTTTTAAATGTTATACTAAAAAAAAAAAAAAGACATAACTTTAACAAGCAAAACATGTTTTAATATCTTTTATAATGTGCGTGCAATTTGAGTTTTTCTTTTTTTTTTTTGCGCGCGTTGCAAATAAAAATCTAGAATTTTATTTACACACGCACACAAGAAAAATCGATTTACTATCGTATCACGAATGCTCGCATCTCGAAGCGTTGGTTGCATTGTTTCTTGAATCCGTCAATTGTATGCAATAATAAAGTACGTGACGCAGATCGTGCTTCGTGGATTTTCGCAGTGTTCCTTTCATGTCGATGCATGATTTAATGTAATATAGCGTTTACCTTCGCGAGAGATCAACATTATTTGAACTACATTAACAACGTCATTAATCTTCCTTCCTGCATCATGTCATACACAAACCGCGTTAAACCTTATCGATTAAAACGTATTCGTTACCTCAGTATTACGATGTTGTGATAACACATTTTCACGAAGTCCAAAGTTTCAGAGCTCGAAACTACTTTGTCAATCTCGCCGCTCTTGAAGCGACAACGATTGTGTTTTATTAGTTACATTTTGAAAGGTTTTGCGCAACAAGTTTTCGCAAAACCTCCGCGTCTCGCTTTGAAGTTTCGAGTGCGCAGCGTACTACCGTACGCACACGTTGATCGCAGTCGATATGCAGCGGGGGATTGACAGGTCTGATTGATACAGAAATAAAGACCTTTCGAAACTATTTTCAGAGTGGACACAGCAGCAACAACGGACGCGGCGATATAAATCTGGGCTCGCTCGCGAACGGCTCGCGACGGCAACCCTCTCAGCAGTCGTCGTCGTTTCACTCGTCCAAGAACCATTCTCGGTCGCATCAACCTGCGTCCGCGCCGCCATCGACACCGCGGAACGCCTATCAGATGACCGAAATAGAAGCACCGTGTATACGTAAGTTAGCCCCCGCTGCGCATGTGAGATTTACGATCTGCGAAAATCGCGGTGAAACGCGTATCTTATACAAGCGGAAAATTAAGGATCACGCGCGCGCGCGCGTATAAGAGAATCGCGAAGTTTCTCATCGAAGTTGGTCTCCCGGCGAAGATTATAGAGATTTTTCTTTAATTTCCACCCGACGTGAACGCCGCCCATCGCGCGATATTAATAGAACGCGTCACCGGCGTTAAACATCGTGAAATTATTAAAACGCAAAGTGACTCTCGAGAATTATGTTAAATTGCGGCCGCGAGGAATAACAGAAAATGAACACTCGAGAGAAAGAGAGAATCCGCGAAGTAAGTTCGCTTTTTGGCACAAGACGAAACGACGCGCTTAATGTCCCAAAGTTCAACTGTTTTTTTTTTTTTTTTTTTTTTTTTTTCTATAAAAGCAAAAAAGCTTCTTAGTGCGATGGCTACGTACGTACAATACGTTTTCTACTTCGCAGACGTTAGATCATCGTCTCGGAATCTCGGATCGACAAGATTCAATCAAGAAAGCATCACAAAAATGCTCGTACTTATTAGTACGGTCTTCATATTGCTTAATCTACCGAGGTGGGTATATATCTTCTTTATGTGTGTTCTTTAGATTTTTTTCTTCCACCAGTTTTTGCATCCACCAATTTTGTTAGAGTTTATCTCTTCCAGTGTTTGTTTTTCAAGCTATTTTTATTCACAAAATGTGATATGTCGAAAAACCGGAATCTGCCGGTTTAAAATTGTTTACGACGCGTCTTCGCTTTAACGTTTGCATGCGCATCGCTCTTTTCATACGTGCACATGTCTATTTTGAAAATTTAATATAATCCATCCGTCGTCTGTCGTGTGTGTGTGAGAAAGTTCGAGAAACGGAAAACGCTACGCCAACAGTTTCCGGAAGTGAACTACCGGACCGATATCGGACCTCTCTCTCAATATATCTTATTTGCATGAAAATTGCATCACGAGTCGAGTTGACACTTTGTTGCAGTTACGTGATTCGCCTGTGCGTGTTCTTCTTCACATTGGCGAGAAAGGACACGCCGGAGACGCTCTGGTGCCTGCAGCAGTTCTTTATGCTGCTGTATTACACAAATTTCAGCATCAACTTTCTGCTGTACGCCATGTGCGGCATCACGTTTCGCCGCTGCCTGGAACAGATGCTGCGCCGCGTTCTGAAGAGCATGACACGATATCACTGCAATCCGCAGAGGTGGGTACCGCGCTTTTCCCGTTTTTCCGCGAATGATCCGTCTCGGTTCGATCTGAATTGTCGGTATTATGTATTTGCGGTGATTATTAGGGATTCCGAAGACGCGTGAAGCAGCAGCAACGTTTTCTCTCCCCGCAACTTCTCCCGAGGTGTTCTTCTCCGTGTTTGGTTTCGACCGAGATTTCAACCAGATCGTTGCGGCGTTTGTGGGAAAATAAATCCAAGATAAATCCTGTTTGCGCAATTGTGTGCGTCGAGAAAGAACATACTCTATTCGTCTGACACACGTTTGCGACGTGTTGTATCGAACAAACAATAAGACAACGATTTGACGTGAAAGGATAGAATCCGTCTCCAGAAGAGAATAGAAGCTGCGAAACACACTGCATGCGACGTATATAAAGTGTTTGGCTGATAAATACGTCACGAATATATCGAAGATGAATGATCTGGCACGTATTTGTTATAAATGTCAATTTATATATACGGATTGCGGTGACACGTGTTAGACGATTATGTTTTGGCGGAGATTCTTCGTTTCCACTCATTCGTGCGTGTTTCAAGTTTAAAGACGTGAAATGGATCGCTTTGAAATTTTCATAACGCGTTTCCAGTATTCGATCCAACGTTTCGAGCGGTCAGCTTTAACTAACGGACCAATGTGAATGATTCTCGCTTCATTTCTGTTCTTGAAATTTGTTATAATTCTGTATTACGAATCATTTTTGTTTTTGTTATTGTTGTGTTTTTTTTTTCAAAAGTTAAATTACACAAGATATTTGTGTATTTCTTGACTTCGCGCGTAAACAAATTAACTTTCATGATCATCATGTTGATGTGAGACCAAGATCTTTTTTATTGCGGCGTTCGTAATTATATTATGTCACAATATAAATGTACACACTCACACACAAACTTCAACATGATAGTGCAGCTTTATCGTATCTAGAATTGTTATCTATGGCTTGTTCAATAATTGCGTGTCGACAAAGCTTGCACAAATGATAAGATTAACACGATAAGATTAACGTGCGAGTGACATGTGCTAAGCTCTTTTATAGAAATATTAGAATCTGCGATGTAGTTAATGGAAAATCAAACATTTTGAGAAATTTGTGAGATTTATGTAAAATGTATTAAAAAACACAGTATAAAAAAATGGATTTAAAAAAATTTACAAAGTGTGTGTGTGTGTAAAATTAAAACTAATTTTTTAAAGGTTTGTGTAAAACTGTATTTTTATTGCCTTATTTTTAAACTACATAATAATCTTCTTTAAGATGAATAAAATAAGCTTTTAAAGTGACTTATGCAAAAGGACTTCAAAAGGGCGCTAAAGTAGAAGCAAACACTGACATGGTATACGAAACAAAGGAGATGTATTAGCATAATGACTCTTTGAAAGACGTTAAGTAAAGCGAAAATGAGCTAATTGCATTTAAGTTCACTGAATTTCCACGTGTCAATTTCAAATGTTTCTTTCTTTTTTATATTAATTCTATTCTCTAGTAGATATATATATTTCGAATTATATGAAAAGAGATAAGATTAAAGAAAATACGGTTAAAATTGAACACGTTGATAAAAAGACTGATGGCGCAAAAACATTGTTTGTGCGCACGTACGTTTGTTTGAGCATTGAAAAATAAAAGTTATAGTTACTTATTCCAGTTATTGTTAACTGCAATTGTTTCTTTTTTGTTTTGGTTAAATGAAATTTCTATTAGTCCAATTTCGTCTTTAATTGAACAGTTGATTGAATTTGTAAAACTTCATTTCACATTGTCAAAGACAAAATGCACCATGACAAAAAAAAATGCATTTCTCACTATTTTATACACGAGACAATATTCGATGGTATGTTTTTGTTTCAAGTGTTTAATTATTTTAAATAGTTAGAAGTATAATTGCATTACGCTCTTTCAATTATTTATTTCGATACTTTTATTTTGTTTCTTGTGCAGCATTTTATTTACATAATTCTCTGTGTCGAAAGAAAAAATTAATCGTGAAATAATTGAAAATTAAATCATACAATTTTATTATGTCAATATTTTTATCTCGTTAAAACAAGACAAGAAAAGAGAAACAGTAAGTAAGAGTAATATGGTTTTAATGCTCTTTATTGATGAGGTTTTCCTTTTCTATCTTATTCTCGCGTCAAATTTAACAAAATCACAAAGCTTGGAGTAACTTAGACAATCCTTCCAAGAGCACAATCTTACACGAGAACCGCACTTTATCGCTCAATGTCCGTTAAAAGTTATTAAAGTTCATTAAAGTTTGCTTCGCAAATTTTCACAAAATTCCGGTACATCTTCTAAAACTTCTTCAGACAGTTTCACCACTCATATCAACCGTTAAAACTTCGTTATCTCTTAAATTGCGCGCCTTTATCATATTATCTGTATCAACTCACTATTTGTCTGACAACGTAGTGATATATACGTGTATATCGTCATAAAAAAACCAGCAAACAATTAAAGTTTAAAAGTTATCGATTCACTGTCGTATAAAATAAAAAATAAAAGCAAACTGTACATCGACATTTTTGAAAAAGCTCAACTTTAGTTTTGACGGATTACACAGGATAAAACTTTAAAACTTATTATCAATTAAAAATATTATTTTTACAAATATTCTCTTTTGACATTTGAAAAAAGTGACAACAGAGAAATTTAATAGCAAGTTTAAAGCAAGAAGTTTAGTTGCAAAGTGAACAAAAAAACTAAATAAAATCTCTTTGATGTTACAATTTTTGCAAAAATGAGGAAAGCGACTCTATACCAAGAATAGAAAAAATGTCTGAGGAGAGAAAAAGGAAAATGATAATTTTCACATTATTACGTTTTATGACACGCGGAAGAAATCTTATTGTCTTTTTCACGAGTTTTTTTTGCGCAATTAGAGCGGAAGGTGATTGAGCAGAAATCCGTGGCAGAAGAACATTTTCGGCGCTTCGTGAAACGAAAGAGAAAAAGAAAGAAAAGTTATCTCTTTTTATGCAAACGAACTTTTCCGCTTATTTTCGGGGAATTTTTCTTTTAATGAAGTTCGTCGGTTTATTTAGAAAGGAAAAGGGAATCAGATGATACTTACCTTACCGACATTAACATTTGGCAAAATTTATTAATTTTTAATTTGTTATATACAATTTATTGTTGTCTATTTTAAACGAATAAAGTAATAAACAGCTGATTGTTGAGCTGGATTGTGCTATTGCTACTTTTTCTTTAACCTAACTTTACAAATCGTCTTTGGACTTTTAACAATTATTTTTTGTTTTTAGTTGTGTGGAAAGGTCTTTTTATTTTTTGCACAGTGATTCCTAAATTCTTAAAGAATGTTTTCCTAATATTTATTATTTTTATCTCTATATCCGAACTCGAAATACTAAAGTAATATTGCAATATATACTATACGTACTTTGCAATATTATTTTAACATTTCAAGTTTGAATATAGATATGAAAATAATAAATTAGAAAAACATTCTTTAAGAACTTAGGAATCACTGTGCAAAAAATAAAAAGATCTTTCCACATACCTGAAAAAGAAAATAATTGTTAAAAGTTATTATTACTGTATAAAAATAGCAATATTCGCACTTTTGTTTCTCGATAACTAGATAGAAAATTTTGAAAAAATTTACGTGTGTAAGAATCGACTTCTTAAACATGCCCTCAAAATTTGAAGTCATTCCCTATATTTCGGCAAAATCGACCGAATTTCCTTAAGCTCATGCAGTAAAACACACGTTTGTTTTGAGCGTTTTATAATTTCACGCGAAATACAAGACTGTTTTACATATGTATACTATCGTACGCGTGCGATCTAAATCAACCTTTTTTTCTGCCTCATTTATAAAATCCATTATAGTAATCATATACACACGTGTAATTTCTATGCAAATTTTTATGTACACGTTTTTCGCATAAATAATTCACACATATGTGTTTAGTTTTGTTTTGAAAAATGTTGTTAAATTTGTTCAAAATGCATTAATTTTCTTAAGTAAATTTTGTGTTAGTTTTAATGTTTCACAAGGCAAACCACGAGAGAAAAAAGAAAACAAAACGGGGTAAAACATAGACATTGCGTTTTATGCGTAATATCCGTTACATCAAATATTATATACAATCTTTGTCGCACGTCGGAATAATAAGCTAACTTTGATCATCATTACGCGTCACGCCGAATTAATCGCTTATGATACTTGATACAATCATGCAAAATAGAACAGAAATACGCGTGATAGGGAAACGAGGGGGAGAGGATGATGCAAATTATAAGACTAAAAGCGGTAAATACGTAATTGCATTCGTAACGTTATACACGCGTATTATTCGATTTCTCTGTATTACATTGAAATATTGAGTATCCTGTGGATTGCATTTCTGTTTAAACCGTGTATGCATCATTCGCGCGTCGTGCGTGTTATGAAAACTGCTAACTCACGTTTTTTCCCTTATGATAAAAGCATTTTTTTTTTAATTTGATAAATATTTATATTTTATGCGCGTCAACATGTTGTTATTAGTTACAACATATTGATGATAAATTATTCTGCTTCGAATGGACATTCCCGTCGTCAAAAGCGCCGGGATGCAAGTTCCGACAAAAAGTGAAAAAAAAAGCCCGAGCGCACAAACTGATCCTGTGTCGGTGACATTGTATTGTGGGTAAAAAGAAAAGAAATATCGCGACTATAAAGTCATTTTAAAAATATTACTTTTATACGTATATTAGCATCGTGTGTATATCGATATAAACAATTACGTATATTGAATTATTTATCAAGAAAATTAAAACAATTACGTGTAAATAAGAGGAATCAAGAAAAGAGCGAGTAATATTCTCTTTGTATTCTTTTTATATTTAAGAATATACAAATCGCATTTCCGCTCCATAGATTTACTTAATTTGTAAAACATGATAAGCTATTAAGTATAAATTAAAATTGTGATGAAGTATTTTGTCTCGACCAATATTTGGAAGAAACTCAAATGTACACACGTAACTATTGATTTATTAAGTATGAAATATATACATATACATATATGTATGTATATATATGTACATATATATAAAATATATATTTGGCAGGATTTAATACTTAATAAGCCAACATGTGGTAATTATTAATTAATGTGAAATTCATTCCTGTATATATCGAGCTATATACATGTTTAAGGAAAAAAAATTCCGTGTATATATTTATTATGTGTATATATACGTATATTGTTGTTGAATGAATCAAATAAGAATGAATATAAATATATTTATATATATCTTATATACATATATTATATATATATATATATATATATATATATATATATATATATATGTATATAATAATCAGAATAAAAAGAGAGTCTTCGGGTGTTTCATTTATATCGCGTGCGATTATATCAAGTGTGCGTTATCCGTAAGAGCGTATTTTCTGTATTTCAAGTTCGACGGAAAGCCAGAATTAATATTAGTCCATATTGATTGTAAATAATAATTGTTTCTACATGTATAGATGTTAAGAACAGAGTTGGATTATTATTATACAAAAATATATGTACCACAATGCTGTGTAACTGTTTATTATATTCTCTATTAAACGTAATTTAAGTTCCAAATTTATTTATACAGAATGTCTGAAAAATTTTGACAAAGCCGAAGTGTGAAGTTAGATCGAGTCGATCTGAACAGAAAAGTCAGATCTGCAAAATTTGCAATATTTATTAAGTTGTTCATTAATTATTGTAAGTCACTGAGTGCGTATAAAGCAATATCCAGACTCCGTTGACATGTATAATTTTCGGTTGTACAGAAAACTGATTTCTCTCGTGCAATATTCTAGCAATGTATATGATACAGTTTCTTGCGATCAGCTGTTTGTCACAATTAAAAAATTAGCTTTTCACATGTGCTTATTAGGTCGCATTAATTGATTATAATAACTCAATAAATATGGCAAATTTTGCGAAATGATAAATGAGTTTTTCGTTCAGATTTGACCCAACCTGTCTTCACACTTTGATTGTGTCAAAATGTTTCAGACATTCCGTATATACATAGAAATATGTATATATATATGTATATCTATGCTTTTTCTATATTAATTCAAACGGACATGACAAACCGAAATAAGTTTTCAACTATATGTACCATTTATATAATATACATTTAAGTATTATACATTATATCTTCTCTCGACGAAATATGTTATTTATTTCTACGTTATGTAAATAAATTAATGTTATTTCTCGAAAAAAAAACTTGGGCGACAGTTTTGTTGTTTCAGATTTCCTACTTCGCGGATTAAAAACTTAGACTGTTTTTGCGCACATGGAATTACGGAATTATGTATGCATCACTTTTTTTTATCTTCCTCAAAGAGAAATGAGATTACAACTTTTGCACGAGCAACGTGCATTTTTTTTTCTTATTGTGGCGAGAAAATGCAGATTTTTCTCTCAGTTTGACCTCTTGAATGCATGTATCTTGCGGAAAATATACGCATATGTGCAGAAACAATATTTGCGCAGACAAACGTATTCATCTTGCTTAAAGCACATAATAATATCAAAGCACGTAATAATATATCTGTCTCAATTGATTCGTTGATCGATCGATCGCAAGATCATGTATGTCATCGGTCACTATCAATAAAACGTTGTACGACGTTTTGCGTCACAAGGTCGAGTAACCGATCCAGACGTAGATACAAAATATATAAAAATCAAACGTGGAGTAAAAACAGTATCATGTTCTCTAATGATATTGCGAAAAGTAATGTTTTAAATTAATACAAAAATTAATTAAAATAAAAGACAATAACAAAAAGAATAAATAAAAATATAAATAAAGTATTGAATTTGCAAGATGAATGAACAACTGATGCTATAGAAAAAAATGTCAAACGACAATTTATAGCTTATTCAACCGTTATTATAGAAGAAGAGAATTATTGAGTTACGCATTTATACCTTATTTATAATTTATATTTTATTTATATTTTATTTTTTTATATATACATTTATATTTTGTTTATATTTCTCAAATTGTAATTAGTATCTTTTAGATAGATCTTAAGAAGACAATTATCTATTTGAAGCCTTCGCTTTAATACTTTGCAAAACAAAAATTGCTCGTTTTGTTAGTAGAAACATGTAATTGGAATGGAATTTCTAAATATTTCAAGTGGAAAAATAATGTATTCCCCGAGAGAACAGCGCGCGCTTTTACAAAGATTTCTGTTGTTGCAATTCCTTTGTTATTTTTGCTTCGTCATTGTATAAAATACATAACTCGAGAACGACTCGAAAACGACAATCTTAGCTGAGCTAAGTTCGAGCTTTAGAGGAACGGGTCAGCTGTGTACGCTGCTCGAATAATTGTTGACGCAACATAACTTTTGACGAATTCAAAGTGAAATTTAATAAAATTCAAAATTCTCGAATATATTATATAGGTATAATAATCGAATAAAGTAAATTGTTTTTGTGTTCAGTCTATATCGAAACGACGGAACGCCTTAAAGCAATTATTGCTTTTTCAAGCAATTCGAGAAATCTTCAGTCATCCGTAAATCTCTTTGCAAAGCACTTTGAACCTTAGCAAAATTTCTCAATCGAGGACTTACAACGCGATCAAGATTGATACTCGCTCTCTGTAGTTACATTGGGAAGATACTGTTCGGAATAAATCGTTCGCGGAGAATAAGAAGAAATTGTTCGAGGATCTTCGTGCGCTCTTCGAAATCCCGAAGATCCCGCTAAGCTAATGGAGCAGTACTTATCTCGTGCAGATCGGTCTTACCTTGGTCTTTCCGGAACTTGTCGGGCCCACCAGCATTAATCCACTACGCACCAGAGTCGTTTCGTACAATTGAACCACCTTCCTCACGAAGTCTGTAATTAGAGTTAAGCTTTCAATAGATTTCCGCGAAACGGTCGGGACGGGATGAGGAAGTAACGGGTAGAATACGGTATATCGATCCGCGCACTTCTCGTTGCATTTAACACGCGCTACTAAATTGGATGCTTTGTTGCGAAGACACGTTCCGCATGCTGCGACAATCATTTCAGTGATTTGTCAAATCACGCAAAAAACATGTAATAAGAATCGCATCGGGCGATGAAAAATATACAAAATGTACAATTGCGATGACGGAGAAACAAAACAACACGAAAAATTCACCCTTACACACTCTCTGAAAGTTTATAAGAAAAATTGAGATATATATAGTCTTTTATTCGCGTACCACGCGATAAAAAATATACAGAACGCACATAACTGTGAAAAAAAGAAGTAATTTAATATAACGTTTGGAAAAAGTTACTAAACCAAACAGAATATTGCGTCAAATGTTATTTCATATTTGTGTGTAAAACAAGAATAAACTGATTAAGTTGAAATTAATTAAAATTAATCTGATGTACAAATAATACGATATGCGTTATTCGTTTCTCGTTTCGTGTGTGCAATAAAATTTGAGAACAAAAATCTGTAATTCGAAATTTGTTTGTGAAATGACACAAGTCGATGAGAGAGCGAGAGAAGAAAAAGAACAGACGCGGTGTGTATGAATACGCGGATTCTCCGCGGATTTATCAGACGTATACCATTATGGTGGTATGTGTCTATACCATCATAATTGGCCACTATTGTATTGGCCTATATTATTCCGCGGTATTATTCGAGTAAAGTTGGTTTTGTTACTATGTATATATAGCTTTGACTTGCGAATCTCATTAATTTATGTGCTCATGCTCGTGATAACCATGCTATTCCTATTTCATTAGAAAATATATTTCTCTTGTATTACATTTAAATCTCTCTCTTTAATATTTGGTAAAAAACACTTGTTCGTCTCGTTAGTAGAAATAAATTTAATTGGAATGGGATTTCTACATGTTTCAAGCGGAAAAATCCGATATACTATACGGTATACAATATAATCGTGCGTATGAAATTATTATCTTAATTAAACTATTCTCACATAATATAAGGAAAAATTCTTATATAAGAAAAATGCAAATATGTATAAGAAGTTGTTACTCAAGAGTCTAATACGTTTTTTTTAAGAGCAAATGTAGACATTTTTTCGAGAGTTTTACTGCGTCAAACAATATACGATTAAGTACAAGATTTATAAATAACTTCTTAATATAAATAACTAACTTAATATAAATGATTTTTTAATATAAATAACTTTTTTGTTTAAAAATTTAATAAGACTAAATGGTAATAGTTATAATAATAAAGTGTGTCTTAACAATTCTTTAATCTCGCACGTTGTTTCTCCGCCATTTATTCTCGTCGATGTCTGCGGGCTCTATTTTTGGGAATCTTTCCGAACATTATCTCTGATTTTTTAATATTTACCTATTTCTGTTTTGTAAGCTTATCGATCGATTCCTATAAAAGTCGTTTTACTAATTTGTTTGCTACTAAAATGTTATATTCAAAAATATTTGTCTTGCAGAATGTAATCAATATATAATTTTGAATTTCACAACTCCCCTCTCGCTGTGTCAAAACTATCGCATTACAAAATATTCCACCCCTAAATCGATCTTTTCCTGAACAAACTAATTAATTTGTTTTACATATTTTACGTATTTTAATTAAATAAGCCGTAACGTACCAAAATATATAAGCTATTTATGGGTTTCATATTGCTTATTTGCATTTTATCGTGTTAATCGTTTACACGCAAAAAGTTTTTTTTACTGAAATATGACTGAAATATATGGAAACTCTCCACATAATATTGAAGAAGCTAAAAACTTGCATATGTACAGAAGATATTTTTAATTTGCAGAAAAACATATTTGAGATTGTACATGTTTTTTCGCACTGAATTTTCTCACTAAATATTTAAAATTGAAACAATTACAAGATAAAATATATTCGACTGCGAAATCTCAATACACAGCGCGAATTATAAAATGAAAAATAAAACTTATCATTAACATCTTGCAATCCTATCTGCCTAATAGATTTCCGGATACATGCTTCTAGGATTTCATAATCCACTTCTTTCTCGGCAAGCCCCGGGAAGAGATCTGAAATAATGTCTGGAAAAAAAAGAAGAACGAGAGAAATCTGCACTATTTTTTTTTTAAATAATTCTCTTTTTAGCTCTTTGCAGTTTTTTATGCAAAAAACATTGTAACGCTTTGTTCTAAGATCAAACTTATCTCACCGTTGAATAATTTCAAGTCATCTTTCAAAAACTTGGGAATATTCACGTCTTTCAGAGCACGCAAGCAGATTTGATCCTCTTCAAGATCCCTTTGTTCTCTTTTCAAATTTCAAGCCAGCAGCTGCAATAAGTTTTCACCTCGCGCAGACCAAAGTCGTGATCCTGCCATATTTTAGATATATTATAAATATATATATATATATATATATATTATATACATTAAAAATATATTTTTTTAATACAACATATGTGTATAATATTATATATTATGTTATCTTAAATATATATATTTAAAAAAAAAAGAAAAAAGAGAAAGTTACTTGTGTGCTTAGTTGCTCTGAGCTTAATTTAAAAGTTGTCGTGATTTTTTTGGCGAGTTTCTTAGCGTTTGTAAAACCATATGAGAACAAAGATTTCAGCGATAAGATCATAATTTGGCACCATCATGACGACCGGTCGGAAAAGAACCTTGAGATTGTCTGGTAACTCTGTTCGACCGGCGTAACTAGGATTCATAGTGATAAATACAACGCACGACGGTTTTAAGGTAAGTTCCACTCCTTCAAAAAGAAATCTGTGAATTTATAAGCTCTACATGTAAAATCATATTAATATATAAATTATTAATACAATTATTAATATACATATTATTCTTTTTATATTTGTAAGAAAGTTAACATACTATTACAAATATGGAAACAGTATATTAATATTTAATTATATTGAATGATGAGATTTATATATGTCAAGTCGTAATATTGATCCGTCGCAAATATTATTTGATATTTGAATGTTTACAGTATTTGTTAAACTTAATGAAACGTGTATATTTTGTTATGTTATAAATTTCGCGATTTATTTATTTTCCGCAATGGAAATGGCAAAACACATACACACAAGAGAGAAAGATATATTTTTATATATACATATCCACCGTTTTAATAATAACTCTTAACCGCTCTCAAAGAGTATTTAAAAGATTAACACACCGTTTATTTTAGTTCTATTGCTAAATGGCTTTGTGCTTGAGCGTCACGATTTACATTTCCTGAATTTCAATATCGGGTATATAGCGGCGGGATTAAAAGACGATTTAATATCTTTTGCCAAAAGAGAGAGAGAGAACCGTTGTCAAAGTCACCTACGCAATACAAAGGTCTTATCCGTTATTTTGTGTCATCCTCTACTATCGATTTCCAAATTGCTCCGAGCATTCCGCGTCGAGCTTTTATTCGGATATACGATTTACTTACACATTCGCTCGCATCTGTTGTGCCTTTTGAATGGTCATGATTTGCTGGGCGACGACAGACAAAACCTCGATATCGATCCGATTGAATTCGTCAAAACACGCCCATGCACCGGATCTAAAAATATCGAAAACATCACGATCAAAGCAACAATGTTATAAGGCAATTGCATCTTGTGTTATTATTCACTCCAGTAGCTTGCATAAAAAAAAAGTACAGAAAACGTCTTTCGCTTACATGGCAAGACCCTTGAAGAACTTGATTATTAATTTGTAATTTAACTGATCCGAGCAATTGAACACTACACACCGAACGGCAAACGCTTTCGCGAGATCCTTCGTTGTTTCAGTTTTACCGGCTGCCCGCCGGACCGGCGAATGCGCCCCCGAATTTCAGATGCAACGCGCTAATCAGGGTGAGATGAGCAACGTTCGGTCAACGGTGTTATCACCAATCTTCCGTTGTTGCCTAAATATTCGTATCTGTAAGACGTATCAACACTGATGGAAAAATATCACATCTCACAAAATATTATCTCCGGAAATTTCACGACAAAAATTTGCGCAAAACAAAAAATTGAAAAATGATTCTTGATATTTCCCGTCGAGAAAAATTTTAACGAGAACATGATACTAGTCGATTCTTATCGAAAATTTCGCAGGAGAAACAGCTAATTGTAAGAGCTATAAAAGGATCGTAAAAGGATCCTTAAGAGATGTATTTTGAAGATAAAATTACTAACAAAGCGCGAGAGAAGCGCTAAGCATGTAGGTTAAAAGAAATAGCTTGGTTTAGTAGTGTAATATTATTGCCTATACCAACGCGCGCGTAGTCGAGCGAGCTCTCAAAGAAGCTTTTAGCGATGCTCATTTCATATCCGAAATTGCTTCTAAAGGTGAAATTATAATTGATATAATTTAATATAATTTGTGAGAGATCGCATCATTGAGCACCCGCTACTTGCGAGAACAAGCTTCAAGGAGATAAGAAAATGGAATACAACAGCGCGCAAAATTCTCTCTTCGCAGACGCTTGAAAATTTCATATATTTCGACAGCTATGAAAAGATTTTCATCCACACAGTATGTTACTAATATTATTTCAAAGACTAGCACAACACAGGCGCGCGCTACGTGCACGCTATTGTTATTTTTATTTAACGTCTTCTCAGTGAACACAACCTGTCATCGCAATGACAGACAGTATATACGTCTTATAAACCATATAATACACATATGAGAAATGTCAGAAATAACGCATGAAAATCAAACTCAAAATACAATGAGAGAGAGAAGTGGAAAAACAACATGTGACTAAAGTTACGTGACAGGGAAAAGGGTAAAAAAGAGAATATTATATATATTATATGTAATATTCTATATCTATATATAATA